ATACAAAAGTTTTAAAAAAATAAATATTATTACATTACATTTCTATACCACCCGTAGCCAAAGCTCTCTAGGCAGTTCACAACATTTAAGCCACCCATCCAGATTTCAACCAGGCCCAATCCTGCTTAGCTTTCAAGTTTAGTCTGAATCAGGCACTTTTGAAGTCATCAAACATATCTTGCTTAATGCATATTTTGAATATGAGTGACATGATGCACCATCCTGCATGTTTTGTCAGGATTAAAGGAACAGAAGTGCCATTGTGATTACTGTGGAGAAAGCCAACAGCCCAAAAAGTGGCCTAAAATGGATAAGATCCGCATTCTGGTCTTCTTAGGTGGAGGTGCTTGAAAAATACAGTGTAACCAGGTCGGCTATTTCTGATTGACACCTTGAGCTTTCTTGGCTGTTGGCTTGTTGAGGGAAGGCAATGCTTTTATTTTTCTAGCTTCCTCTTTCCTGGTACAGTTTTCTCATGCAGTTTCCTATCTATTTTGAATCTCTCTCTCTTGTCATTTCTGTGTAATCAGAGTTTTCAGCGAACATGACCACCACAATGTCTATGTGACTGGAGCCTTATGGAAGTATCCTGCACAATGTATTTACTTGGCAGTCATTTCAGAGCTACCAACATGTAGTGTATTCCTGCATGCTAATGAACTTTAATTTCTTTTGAGTTTATACCCCTAGCCTGCCTGCATTTGTGGGTTAACAGCATCTATCCAGAATTAAGCCCAGATGCGTTCAATGGCACTTATTCCCAGATAAGTGGATACACCATTGCAGCTTTCAATAAATAGGGTTTCACTAACTAGTTATATGGGACCTCCTGTTTGCCTCCTGTTCCCTTGGAACCCATCCCTTTGGGGTGGGCTGACATACCAAAGAGAGGCTGGATTGCAGCTTCATTGTGGTGCTAGTTGCTGTGTCAGAATCTCCCTTACCAATGGCGAGAATGAATTCTCGGACCCGCAGGGAAGATCAAATCGCCTTGAACCCCAGTGTTTTTATTGCAAGATCACCCAGGCCCCCTGCAGTTACTTAGGACAATGCTACTGGGTAGTGGTCTGCACCACCAACAACAAGCTTTTAGAACATATACAGAGTGTTTTATAGTTTCTGAGTCACATGGACCCAGCAGTTGGGTAGTCGATGACAAAATAAGGGGAACACAGTCAGAAGAAGGTGAGAGGTCTGCAGAGGGGGCTCAGTACAATGGCATTTGATTGCAGGGGATTAACATAACTGAGGTACAGGGATTATTGTGGGTCTTGGCATGCAAATGAGGGTGATTGCAATGCTACTAGAAAAACTTGTTTGGCCACCTTATCTGTTTTGTTTGCTGTTAACACAAGAACAGAGAGGGGTTAACTTTCCTAGGGAGCCCTATTCTGCAGAGGCTTTTCCAACCAAAGGTAGCAGCCATCTCTTAAAGCAACAGCTTGGAACATAATACTAAACAGAAGCCTGCCTTGGAATTCTGGTACTTTCTGAGAAAGAGGTGCAGAGATGTTGCAGGTTTGATTTTATAACACAAGCGCATATACAACTAACCTGTTTCTACCAGGATTTATCTGGATTTCCCCAGCATGTGAAAGTGAGATTCAATTACCTATCTATATTTTAACATCGTCATATTTCTCTCTCCCCCACCAAAGTAATGTTTTCAACTCAGTGTTCAGAAGGTCCCGTCAGCAGCATTTCTCTCTATTATTTGCTGATGATGTAATGCTTAGATTGCACTTCTAGTATCCAAAGAACTTCCATGGGCATGCTTCCAGAAATCCTCACAACAGCCCTGTAAGGCAGGCTAGGGTTACATGGCACGCCTGACCACAGAGCAGACATGTAGACCCTTTTTACCCTGAGGCCCAATTGAGTTCTGGAGACACTTTCAGGATGGAGTGTGAGTTCCTCTGGTGGATGGGGACAAAGGCAACTTGGATGGGACCCAAAACACAGACATACGGCATCATAAGCTCTTCCTGCCAGAAGCTAAACCTTGGGAGAGACAGTCCTACCTTTCAGGATTTGCAGGGGGGGAGGGGGTCTAAAGGCAGAAAATGACAAAGCAATCAGCAGGTGGGGGTCAGGGGATGGGGCCTGAAGAAGGCATGTGGCCTTCTGGGGAGCACTGAATGGCACAAGTGGGACCCCTCCGAGGGCCAGATTTGGCCCCCGGGCCTGAGGTTCTGCACATCTGTCATAAAATGATATGATCCAGTTGCTTTGGACTGCAGAGGAGCATTCTTGTCTTGGACCTTCTACTTATGTTGCTTATTTTTTTAGAACCAATATGGATATAAATACACAGGCACAGAGAGGTATTGATAATTCAATTATACATACACTTCAGCAACAGCAGACCAAATGTCCATCTATGTATTGGTTCAAGTGGGACATTCATATGCCATCTGTTCAAATGCTGGAAGAGTTGTTAGGTCTCAGAGGGGATCTGTTGGCGACATACAGGTATGTGAGGGGGTGTCACACGGAGGTGAGTAGAGACCTGTTCTCCCCTGAAGAGGAAGGCAGAATGCACTCCAATGGAGCAAAGCTCAGGGAACCCAAGTTCCATTTGGATGCCAGGAAGCACTTCCTGACAGTTAGGACCCTGAGGGTGTGGAATGGGCTTCCACGAGAGGTCCTTGAGGCCCCATCGGTGAGGGTGATCAAGGATAGGCTGGACATGCACATGGTGGGCATGTCATGAGCGAAGCCGGCTGGAGCCGGGGGTCAGACTAGATGGCCCGGGAGGACCCTTCTGACTCGCTCAATGTTTTCTATGTCTCCAGTCTGTTGCATTCTAAGAGGTGATCAACTGACTGCTTCAGTCATCTGGCCTCTGCCCTGCCCTGGAGACATCCATTTTTGCTTTGGCTTCGCAGTGGCAGCAGAGAAGCACCTGAGAATCCTAGAAGAGTAGAGTTGGAAGGGACTGTGAAGGCCATCGGGTCCAACCCCTGATGATGTAGGACACCAAGTTCACACCCTCCCACTCAGGCGGCTGTCCAGTTTCTTCTTGAATGTCTCTAGTGTGGGAGAGCCCACCACCTCTCTAGGCAGCTGGTTCCACAGTTGTATCGCTCTGACAGTGAGGAAGCCTTACCTGATATCTAGTCTGAATCTTGGTTGCTGCAACTTGAATTGATTATTCTGTGTCCTACACTCTGGCATCAGCAAGAAGAGATTTTGACCTTCCTCTTTGTGGCAGCCTTTGAGGTACTTGTAGAGCGATGCCATGTCCCCGCTCAGTCTTCTCTTCTCAAGGCTGAACATTCTCAGTTCTCTCCGTCTCTCCTCATAGGGCAGTGTTTCCAAACCCTGGGCCATTTTGTTGCCTTTCTCTGGATGCTTTCTATTTTTTTCTGCATTTTTCCTAAATCTTGCTGCCCAGAACTGGACATAGTATTCCAGATGAGGCCTGACTAGTGAGGAGTATGGAGGAAGTATTACTTTCAAATCGAAAGAAGTAGTTGTTCCTCTATACTCCTGCTACTACTTTGCATAGGAATGACTACTTCTTGTCATTTGGCAGTACTACTTTCGTTAATGCATCCCAAAATAGCATTTGCCCTTTTGGCAGCTGCATTGCATTCTTGGCTCCTATTTAGCCTATTGTCCACAATAACCACAAGGTTTTTATCTTTTTCAGTTCAGTTGAGCCACATATTTCCCATCTTGTATCAATGCATTTGGTTTCTTTTTCCTAGGTGGAGGAGTTGGCACTTGTCCTTGCCGAATGCTTTCAGGCCAGCATTCAAGTTTATCAAGATTGCCCTGGATCTTCATTCTGTCTTCTGGGGTGTTTGCTATTCCACCCAGTTTTGTCATAGCCAGTGGTTCTGAGAGTTCCTCCACCGTCCTGAACAGTGACTGGAGACAGCTGTGCTCTGGGCGCCTCTTCGCTGGCCAAAGTCCACACACGCGCGTCTCAGCCAAGAGCATCTGCCCCTCTCCTTTCACACGGGGGGAGACGGGCACCTCAGAGGGCCTCCCAGACATGGCCGTCTCTGCTCTCGGCCTGCCCTGCTTCCTGCCCTCTCCTCCACTCTCACCTTGCCTGATGCTTTCCTCAGGACTGTTGGCAATCCCCGCTACCGCCACCCTCCTTCCGCAGTTGTGGGCAAAGAGTTTCCCAAGAGCCGGCCTAGAAACTTCCCCTGGAAGCTGCACACAGCCTTCCCCAGAGCTGCAGCAACTGCATGCTTCTTGCGGCATGGCTTGCTGTGGGCGTGGGAGACGTGGGTGAGGGGCAGCCTGGCACGGGGACAGGGTGCCCGCCGGAGCCACCTCCACACACGATGGCCCAGAGGGAGGGGGCAGCAGCCACTTCAGAGGTTGGTGCTGCAGGGCATTGAAGGGGCAGCAGTCCTGACTCTGCCTGAGTCCCTCCTGGTGCCAGATATCCCCCCACCCCAGTTTCCAGGATTCTTTTCTGAATGTGGGACCTGATTTCATGCATCAGCAACAACCCAGTTCTGTGTCCTCTGCAGATCTGGTCTGCACTTCCTCATCTCCGGGACGGTGTAACCTGCAGTCCTGCATCAGCAGGGGCTGGACCGGATGGCCTTCATGGCCCCTTCCAACTCTGCTATTCTACGATTCTGTGATTTGGAACGTGGAACGTGAGAAGAGCCTTGCTGGCTCAGACCGAGGGCCTCCCCGCACAGCCACTGGCCAGCTGCCCGTGGGAAGCACGACGAGGGGGCAGCAGGCCCTCCCACCCCAGGTCCCAGCAACTGCTGCGCACAAGCAGGCTGCCCCCGCTGCAGGACGCGCGCAGAGCGCCAAGTGCAGAAGCACAGAAGGTCTCCCTCTCCGCCTTCCCCATGAAGAAGCAAGCAACTTCCCCTGCTTGAGGACGTGTCGGCCATGCAGCGGAAGCCCTGCCATGAGCGAGGGAGGAGCAGAATGTGCTGAGGGGACAACACAGAAGGCCTGCCTGAGTCCGAGCTCACGGGCTGGTGGCATCCAGCCTACGCCACTTTCCTCTGTTCCGGGGAAGCTGAAATGTGGCCTTTCCCATATCCGTGAGCCGGCACTGTGCACATGTAAGCAAAAACCGGCCATCAAGTCCTCTCTGACTCGTGGTGGCCCCTTGAATGAAAGCTCTCCAGCATGTCCTGTGCAGTACACCTGCCTGCTCTTTCCCTCTCCTGTGTGCATGGTCTGTCCTGCGTCAGCCTCGTGTGCCTTTCCAGTGCAGCTCTTTCCAGATTCAGTCCCACCCTCTCCTCCATGCCATGCTTAGGTGTGTTCAGAAGCAGGGGAAGGGAGTGAGGCAGCGAAGGAGGCCTCAGGGCTTGCCTCTGAAACAACTGGAGCGGCCAGCCCACTCACCTGGAAGCTGCCTTGGTCAGGAGAGGTCACCTGCAGGGGAGTGCTCCCTGAGACCAGGGGAAGGGAGGAAAAGGAAATTGCAGAAGCCCTCAGCAAGCAGATGTGCTCCTCCTTCCTGGCAGCCTGTTGGTCTGTTTGTTCCATAGTTGAGCTTCCCCTTTGAAGGGAGACACCCCTATTGGTATTAAAAATGAGAAAATGAAACTGATTTTTTTAATGCAGCCATGGCAGCAGGGAAGGCCCATCAGGAGCTCTACGACGAAGCCACTTGTCCCATCTGCCTGGATTATTTCACTGACCCTGTGACCACAACCTGTAGGCACAATTTCTGCCTGGCTTGCATAAAGGACCTGTGCCAACCCAACATGCCTGCTTTTTGCCCTCAGTGCAGAGCCAAAATTAAGCGGAGAATGTTACGACCAAACCGAAAACTGAGGAAACTTGTGGAAATCATCAAGAGCATTGAAGAAGGGGAAGGAGCAGAGAGAAGAGTGTGTCAGGTGCTTTTCTGCATGGATGATCAAGCCCTCATCTGTGTGGCGTGTCATCCAACCAGCAAGCACAAAGGGCACAATCTGGTGCCCATGGAGAAAGCTGCCCAGGAGTATAAGGTAAGGCAGCACCATTGTGTGTGTGTGTGTGTGTGTGTGTGTGTGTGTGTGTGTGTGTGTGA